CCATCAGGGTCTCTCTGTTGTGTTCCCTGTCAGGGTGGTCATTGGTGGTAGCCAGGCACCATCTAGTTCTTCTGGTCTCAGGCTAATGAAGTCTCTGGTTTATGTGGCCCTTTCTGTCTCTTGGGCTAATACTTTCCTTGTGTCTTTGGTGTTTTTCATTCTCCTTTACTCCAGGTTGGGACCAATTGATGCATCTTAGGTGGCCACTTGCAAGCTTTTAAGACCCCAGACTATGCCTGGCACATTTTAAGTGCTCAAAAAGTGGTAGCGATGACCATATCATGGTTTTGGGCACTGTCGTTCCACTGTGGGAGCACCAGATGGCGACAAAGCACATGTCTTAAGCTTACTCACATTCTACTGAAAGGACTGCTGGACATGAAGATTGGATATTTTCAGGAGCCCCAGTGGCACCGTGGTTAAAGTGCTCGGCTGCTAACCAAAAGGTCGACGGTTGGAACCCACGAGCCGCTCCACAGGAGAAAGATGTGGCAGTCTGCTCCTGTAAAGATCTATAGCCTTGGAAACCCCATGGGGCAGTTCTGCTCTGTCCTGTAGGGTCACTATGAGTCAGAATCGACTCCACGGCAGTGAGTTTTTTTTTTTCAACTGATCCCTAATTTATGCAGACAGAGTGAAGTATTTTCCTTCCTTTCTCCCTCTGGCTTTTTTCAAACTTCTGGTTAAAACTCATTTGTCTTAAGACTCATATTTAAATTTTATTCATAAAATTGAAATGATTTTTTTGTTGTTAAAGTAATACATACACACAGTAAAAAATCAGATAATGACATCAGATACGACAGAATGGCTATTAGTGAAAAGCATCAATCCATTGCATGGCCCACTTTACCGTATTCTCTGTCCCACCCACCAGGAACACCCATTTTTTTCTTCATTGTGGTAAAATACACATAAAATTTATCATTTGAACCATTTGAAAATGTATAATTAGTGGCATTAAGTGCATTCACAATATTGTACAACCATCACCACTCTCTAGTTCCAGAACTTTGTCATCACCCCATATGAGCACCCCATACCCATTCAGAAGCACTCACTTTTAACTGTTTTTATTATCATGTCATTTTGAATAGCTGAATTCTGTGTTACCTCAATCAGAGTATTTAGCGATGTAACTATTAGATAATGTTTCTTGGGGTTGTATTGTGTACCTACTCTGTGCTAGGAACAAAGGCATCAGATGACAAGTGCATGGTATGTCTGAGGAGTTGCAGTAGGCTGGTAAGATTTTGGCTAGAGATGGGGGTGATGATGAAGCTGGCACAGAATGAGGGTCAGTCATGACGACATTTTATGCTGTGTCAGAAATTTTGGATCTTGTTCTTGTGTCAGAAATTTTGGATCTGGTTCTTTTTTTGTGTGTGTGCATTAGGAGAAAGTTTTCAGAGGACATTAGTTTCTCATTCGATGGTTTGTATACAAAGTGTTCCTCTCCCCACAATGTTCCTGCCTCCCCTCCATTTCCGTCCTAGGTTCCCTGTTTCCTTTCATCCTGAATTGCTACCCCTTCCTGCCTTCTCGTCTTTGCTTTTGGGCAAATACTGCCCTTTCGATCTTGTATATAGCTCGTTCTAAAGAACACATTCCTCTCGGGTGGTTTTGTTTATTTTATGGGCCTGTCAATGGTTTGGCTTAAGGTGATCTCTGGTAATAGCTTCAGTTCCAGTTCAGAAGGGTGTCTTAGGGCCATAGTCTCGGGGGTTCCATTCTCTGTCAGACCAGTAAGTCCGGTCTTTTTTGTGAATTTGATTTTTTGTTCTGCAGTTTTTCTTCTGCTTTGTTTGGGACCTTCAGTTGTGATCCTGGTCAGAGCAGTTGGTAGTAGTAGCCAGGCACTGTCTAGTTCTTCTGGTCTCAGGGTCCTGTAAGCTGTGCTTCATGTGGTCCAGTAGTCCTTTGGACTAATTGCTCCCAGACACCCTTTTAACTCAGTACTGAAGTCACTCCTGAAGTTCACTCTTCAGCCAAAGATTAGACAGGTCTATGGGGCCAATGGAAATATTGGTGGTATAGTCGTTAATAGTCCTTTGGACTAATTGCTCCCTGGGGTCTTTGGTTTTCTTAATTCTCTTTTGCTCTGGACTGGATCTTGTTCTGAGTATAACAGGTATCCACCAAAGGGTTTTGTTTTTTTGTGTGTGTGGTGAAGATACACGGAACAAAACATACCCCATCTCAATTATTTTTACATGTACAATTTGGTGACATTGATTGCATTCTTCAAGTTGTGTACCCATTCTTGCTATTCTTTTCTAAATCACTCCACCAACCATTAATATAAACTTTATGCCCCGCCCCCCAGCAAAATCTTCCCCTTTCTCCCTCCCTCTTACCCCTAGTAACTGCTAATAATCTTTGGTTTCTGTGTATCTACTTTTTCACATAAGTAAGATCATAACAATATTTGTCCTTTTGCGACTGACTTATTTCGCTCAGCATGATGTTTTCAAGGGTCATCCACACTGGAATGCATCAGGACTTCATTTCTCTTTATGGCTGCGTAGTATTCCATTGTGTGTATATACCACATTTTGTTTATCTGTTCATCCACCAAAAAGTTTTAATAGCAAAGTAGCATGGTTACATTTGTATTTTGTAAAGATCACTCTTGGAGCAGTGTGCAGAACGGATGGCATGGCTTGAGACCAGTTAGGAGACGGTTGTAACAATCTAGGTGGGACATGTCAAGGGCCTGAACTAAGGCATTGACAGAAGTAAGAGGGTGGGAATTGGGTTTGAGAAATGAACAGGAAGATAGGGCTTGGAGGGGAAAGTCAAGAATGATTCCCAGGTCTTGGGCTTAGGTAGTCAGGTGCATAGTGTTGCCCATATATGAGCCAGGAGGTCCGGGTGAAGAGACAGGTTTTAAGCTCATTTTAGCTGTGTTGAGCCTGACTTACCTTTGGAGACATCTAAGTGGAGACCTTAATGCAGTTGGAAGCAGAGGTACTTGTGTGCTGAACTTAAGGACTGTCTTAATCTTTACCAGAGTTACCACTTATTGACTTTATTTTCTGAGCACCTACCGACGTGTCAGGCAGTAGGCTCTGCTCTGGGGTCATAAAGACCATAGGACATAGTTTCTTTTTTAAAGGAGCTTGTTGTTGTTGATAGGGGCTGTTGAGTTGATTTTCGACTCACAGCAACCCTGTGTGACAGAGTAGCACTGCCTCATAGGGTTTGCTAGGCTGTAATCTTTATGGGGGAGCCCTGGTGGCACAGTGTTTAAACACTCAGCTGTTACCTGAAAGGTTGGCAGTTTGAATCCACCAGCTGCTCGTTAGAAACCCTATGGGGCAGTTCCGCTCTGTCCCATAGGGTCACTATGAGTCAGAATCAACTTGATCACAATGGGTTTGGTTTGGTTTTTGGTGTCTTTATGGGAGGAGATCACCAGGTCTTACTCTTGCAGAACAGTTGGGTGGGTTTGAACTGCCAGCTTTTCAGTTAGCTGCTGAGTGCTTAATCTTTGTGCTCCCAGGGCTCCTTTAAAGGAGCTTACAGAGTAACAGAGATGTTATTGTTAGTTGCCATGTTGATTCTGACTCATGGCAACCCCATGTGTGCAGAGTAGAACTGCTCCACAGGGTTTTCAAGGCTGTGACCTTTTGGAAGCAGATTGCCAGGGCTTTCTTCCAAGGGCATCTAGGTGGGTTCAAACCACCAACCTTTTGGCTGGTAGTTTGCGTGCTTAACTGTTTGCACCACCAGACCAAAAAAGATGATAGATCTTTAAAAATACATGCTATAAAGTGTTACAGGTAAGGAAGGCTTCATATAGGAAGTTAATGTTGAAAAATGAATAGATGCTCACTAGGTGATAGGTCATTCCAGAAGGATAAGAAAAAGTTTGAAATGATCTGACCTACCTCAAGACCTTATGAGGACAGTTTGCACCAGATGTCTCCTTCAAGTCAAACATGCACAAGTCAGATTTATAGCACGCTGTCTTTTCATTTGAGAGTATGCTGGTAGCAACAGCCCAGAAATGACAAACCCCACCCTCCACTCATACTCACAACCAGTTAGGATAGTCAGAGATTCCTGGGATTTTTAGGCACTACTGTCAAGTTTAAAAAAAAAGAACCCTTTGCTGTCAAGTTGATGCCAACACATAGTGACCCTATAGGACAGAGTAGAACTGCCCCATAGGGTTTCCAAGGAATGGCTGGTGGATTCGAACTGCTGACCTTTTGGTTAGCAGCTGAGCTTTTACCCATTGCCACCAGAGCTCCGTCTCACATACTTTGGGCATGTTATCAGGAGGGACCAGTCCCTGGAGAAGGACATCATGCTTCGTAAAGTGGAGGATCAGGGAAAAAGAGGAAGACCCTCAGTGGGATGGATTGACACAGTAGCTGCAACAATGGGCTCAAACAAAATAACAGTCATGAGAATGGCGCAGGACTGGGCAGTGTTTCATTCTGTTGTACATAGGGTCGCTACGAACCAGAACTGTCTTGATGGCAGCTAACAACATCAACAACTGTCAAGTTATACTCAATTTCTTACTGCCTTGACCAACTTTCAAAAACTGAGAAGGGTTCACCTGGACACTGGCCGTGATTGATGCCTTCAGAGGTCTCTTCACCTCAGCCACTGTCTAGGCCTACATCCATCTAGATGCAGTGGAAATGGTTGCTTTCAGTGCCTCAGTGATAAAAAACTAAATCTTAAGTAGTTCATACTTTAAGCCATTTATGATGGCTTAGAATTCTACTGGCCGTTTATAAAGCACCTATGCTTTTTTTTCCCAGTCATTGCATATATTGCTATTTAACATTGACTTTTCCCCCCTGTTTAGAAAGCATGTGCCTTCATTAAATCCAACCTTGATCCCAGCAATGTGGATTCCCTTTTCTATGCTGCCCAGTCCATCCAGGCCCTCTCAGGGTGTGAGGTGAGTACAGGTTCCTACATTTAAACTTACTTTAAACTGTAAACCATTTTTAAAGAGAGGATTCACGTCAGATTATTTTTTCTAAACAATGAAAGCTCAGTAAGAATCCATGGTGTGGATGGGAATTCTGATCTTGTGATTTCTTTTTTCTTCCCCCTTAAGGGAGTGTAGTGTGTTTATTTTTCCCTTGACTTTTTACTTTTTATGGGTTTTAAATAATTTTTTCCTATAGTTGTTGCCTCTATTCTGGGAAGCCTTGATTTTTCTTTCCATCTCCTTTGAACATTTAAAAATGTTCAAAGTAAAGGAAGAATGCCCCACACCAGATTTCTAGAGATCCATTTTATTGAACATAGAAGAACCATATAAATAAACAAGTGCTTTGTCAGCATCTTCTCAGAAGTGTTGTGCTGAGGTTTATTCTGATGTCTGGGAGTGGGGGGTGGGGAATGGTCATGTGCTAGGCAGGTGTGACTTTGGCAGTTGTTCTGCATGCCATCTTTGGCATGCCTGCCACAAATTGCCAGCACCTGTTCTAAACCTCTCTGTCTGCCAATCCATTCTTAGATCTCTATTTCAAATGAAACGAAAGATCTGCTCCTGGCAGCCGTCAGTGAAGATTCATCTGTTGTCCAGATCTACCATGCAGTTGCAGCCCTGAGTGCCTTTGGCCTCCCCTTGGCATCCCAAGAAGCACTGGGTGCCCTGACCGCTCGTCTCAGCAAGGAAGAGACTGTGCTAGCGTGAGTCACCATCTATGAGTGTTTCTCAGGCTTCATTTGTCTCAGTCCTGTCCTAAGAGGGTTCATTCATCAGTTCAACAAGTATTTTCTGGGTATCTTCTACGTGCCAGGCGCTGTGCTAGACACCACAGACATAGCATTGAGCTAAGGCAGATAAAATCTCTGTCTTTTTGGAGCTTACATAGACATAGCCTTCCCCAAGCTGCTCAGGCAGAAGGCAAATACTGAGTTAAAGCATAAGCGCACGGCCACATTGAGAGGAAACTTGCCTTTGGAGGTTAGGGTGAGGCCAGTTTGCCACAGTGTCTTGTGTGAGGCTTGGCTGAGGCGCCAGATGTTGGCGTTGGAGGCTTTGCAGAGATGGAGGGCTTATGGGATCTCTTGAAGTCATGAGTGACAGCGTCTGGTGGGAGAGCTGGGTATTCAGAGGATAGAGTAGTCTAGGCATCAGACTCAGCAAAAAGCTTAAGTGAGGGAGAAGCACCTTATAGGAAAGGGACTTTGAGCAACTTCTGTTTATTATAAATTTAATCGTAACCATCTTAAGGATGTTTGCTATAAACTTATAAGTGATAGTATGCGTAATTGTTGTTTAACACTAAGACTCTTCATTTAAAACATTTTTTTTTCTGTGTGTCCCCCCATTGAATTGTAATCCCTGAACGAGGATATAGAGTACCTCAAGTCCTGCATTTGTTGGTGCTCCATTTCAGTGCCCAGTTAATTTAATTGTTTATTAAGAGATTGGTGACACCAGTTTCCCATTGCAGACCGTTTTGATTTTTTCCCAGGTTTTTTTTGTTTTTGTTTTTTGCTGAGAACGAAATTGTTTGTAACTTTGAAGCTTTCTTAAGGGCAGAGTTCACAGGTGGTGGATATTCTCTCTCTGTCACTCTCATACCTAACACATGCTCAGGTGATCAGTAATCAGTGACTTTAGGCTGATAACTTTTCCTAGGGTTGACGTTTTATGCACACTTTTCCCAATACTTTGGCCCTTGTGGTCCTCTGATTTCAGTTCCACATTTTGAGCTCTGCTCATAATCCCTTGTGGTGGAATGCCTTTCCTCAATCACCACCATCTCATGTCATGATCTCACTATTATCACCTCACTCTGATGCCATCTTCTACAGAAAAATCTTCCCGTTTCTCTCTAAGCAAAAAGGAAAATCTCCTTCTTTAAAACTCCAGAACAGTAAAAGCACAAGGGAAGTGCATCCATTTTGGAGTCAGACAGACTTGAGTTTGAATGCCAGCTCTGTACCTTCCTTGCTGTGTGACTTTGGGCAAGTTACTAACCTCTCTGAGCCTTATCTGGAAAATGGGACCAATAATCCTTACATTATAGAGCTCATGTGAGGATTAAATGAGATAATACATGTAAAGAGCCTAGCACAGTGTCTGGTTCTTAGTGGGCCTGCAACAGATGGAGTTTCTTTTCCTCTGGAGCACTTCCTTGTTAAGTACCTTTCTTAGGGACCTGGTTACTTCCTCCTTCCTCGATTCTGTTGTCGTTATTTCTCTATTAGGTTATAAGTTTCTCTGTTTGCAAAGCTTGTAGAGCCTGGCACATGATAGATGCCCAACAGAGTTGTTTAATAAAGGCTGAAACTACACTTTTGTGTTTCCGCTGCCTTGTAGAAAGAGCACATGCTTTGGATCAGTTAGAACTGTGTTCAGATCCAAATTCTTCTACTTAATACCTCTGTGACCATAGGTGGGCTATTTATCCCACCCCCTGACTCTCAGTGTTTTTATATGTAAAACAAAGAAAATGATATCTGTCTCATGGGTTATTGTGAAGATCAAACCTGGCAGGATGCCTTATATAATAAAAAAACCTTGCTGTTGAGTTAATTCCAATTCACAGTGACCCTATAGAACAGAGTAGAACTGCCCCTTAGGGTTTCCAAGGAGCAGCTGGTGGATTTTAACTACCGATGTTTTTTTGGTTAGCAGCCAAACTCTTAACCACTGTAACACCAGGGCTCCTGCCTTATATAATACTATTACCAATTTTCCCTATTTAAGGAAATTTGGCATAAATGAGGACTCTTCTAAATGGACCCTCTATATTTTAATGGACTTATTCTAGGAAGTATATGTTCATAAACTTGTCTTGAATGGAAAAACAAAATATTTCTAGGTTTGAATGAACCATCTGAAAAGTTGTCATATGGTCTTTCATGAACCAATTTCTTTGAATCATCTGCTGTATATTAGCAACACAGGATCTGCTTTTATGGTGTTTGAATATAATGCTCCAGACGGAAAGAAATTGCTGGCTGGGGAATAAGTAATTAAACCCAGTGGCAAAACTTCCCTAAAGCTAAGTGGATTAACTTCATGATAAAACTTCTGAGGTTGTTACCAACATGATGCTCATTCCAAAGAAGAGGAAAATGGTATCTTCACTGAAAAGTTCTTCCTGGGTTATCTTAGCAGGCTTTTCTAAGCTCAGCATTTATCATGGGCAGTTAAGGAGTTTTTAATCTTGTTTGGAAATTCAGGTTTCATTTTCTCAAGTGCATTATAGCAACAAGTATCCCATAGGAGTCGTTGAATACTCTGGGGCTTTCCTCTCTGTGAATTGTGACTCCTGTGTTTTCCCACTTGTCATCTTAATGGAATTAGTTTTCCATGGAGGGAATCAAAATTGTTATGCTCTCAATCTAAGCAGAGAAATTCTCGCTCTACGTTCCCCGACACGTTGACTTGGTAAGTGGTGGTTTTACACAAGGGCCCAGCCATCTCTTGGGAATTAGAGGGCCATGGGAGGGCCTGAGCCCAGTCACCTTAACCACCAGGGGGCCCCAGTGTTCCCTAATCGCCCAGAAAAATGCCACTTATATTTTCTAAATCATCTGCATTTAGAGAATAGACTCTAATAAAAAAATTGTATGTGCACATAGCTGTCACATTCCACCTTAAAAAGTTTATCTTACAGAAATATAAATGGATAAAAATATGCAAATAAGGGTTGTAAGTTACAGCATTGTATAACAGTAAAAAATTGGAAACATAAATGTTTATCAGTTGGAGATTAAATTATGGTACATCCAGGCGTTAAAATACTAAGTTGTTAATAAGAATGAAGTACATTTATGTGTACTGATGTGGAAAGATGCCTACAATATAGTAAATTAAAAATAAATTGGAAAACAGTTATCCTTTGGGGGTAGATGTTACAGGAATTTTACCTTTTTCTTTAATAATGTATTATTTGAATTCTTGACAAATAAATACTTTTATAATCGGAACAAAATGATAAGGAAAAGAGAATAGACTCTGGTTTTGGAACCAGAACTTCTTTTCCTTTCCTTTTATTTAATGCCTGAAGGTTTAGTGACTTCCAGGTCTCCCAGCAGGATGATGACATCATGCACATCAGCCATTGAGCTCATATTTATCGAATGCTTTGTGTTTATAGTGCATTTTCTGGTTTCAGAAGAGTTGCTCCAAATTCTACCCAACAGTTTCCTCTTCCACCTGCATATGTAGACTCCACATTTCTTTGGTCTAGGAGTAGGAAAGATAGAAAATTAACAGGCTTAGTGTTTTATACAACATAGGTGATGACAGATACCATATTTTTACACAGATAACACGTGTCTTCTGCATTTGTTTGCCAGCTGCGCCCTCCTCACTGTGAGGTATTTTCATAAGCTCGCTATGCTAATTTCTGTTTTTACAGCAACATGTGGAAGAGGATTAGCATGGCGGTGCTTGTGAGGGAGCCTCACGAGGGGGAGGGCTCAGCCAGCAAACAAATGCAGAAGGCACGCATTATTTGCCTAAAAATACAGTACACCTTGGTTGAGTTGAATCCTGTCTCCCTCAGAGCATATGTCTTATTAACTTAATTAATTCATAGTCTTAGTGTCCTGTATGTGATGCCAACAGGAACAAAATAGATTTTGTGAGGGGGTAAGCCTGTGACCCCTCTTCTCTGTGCCTGCAGTACTTAAACTGCTGTTGCCTGGATTGCCTTCTCAAACTGCCATGACCTTTTCCAGTCTTTGTCACATCCTTCCCAACTAGGTTGTAAATAAGCTTCTTAAGGGCTGAGACTATCTTGTACTTCTGAAGAACAAGAGCAGGATATTTGAGAAGGTGTCCAGAAACAGGAAGGGTGAGTAGTTGAAAGGAGACTTGCCATTCATTGGAATTCTACTCTTTACCTTCCAGAACGGTCCAAGCTCTGCAGACGGCTTCCCACCTGTCCCAGCAGGCTGACCTGAGGAGCATCGTGGAGGAGATTGAGGTGTGAATTTGTTTTGCCAAATGGATTTCCCAGCTCCTGTCTTTGAAACCCTTTAGAAGAGTCTTGCAGATAGACGTGCACAATTTGTTATGTGCAGTTATGTTTCTTCCCATATCCGTGGCACACTTATGTTCTTGTATCAGAGCAATATATCCTAGGCAATATTTATTAATCTAATGTCTTTACACCATAAGTTAGGTAACAAACTGCTTTTCCAGCCTTTTATAAATAAAGTCTAAAGTCCACAGGTTTTAGAGTCTGACAAACATGAATTTAAATCTTTTTAACATGAATTTAAATTTTTTTTCCTGCCACTCACTGCTGTGTAATCTCAGGCAAGTTATTTAATGTCTCTGAGCCTCACTTTCCTTATTGGTGGCCGTAGGAGCAAGTGAGGTAATGAATCTAAAGTGCATAGTACCTAGTAGATGCTCGGTAAGTGGTCGCTGTGGGTTTTATGATTACTCTACCCTTCCCTTTGCCCTGGATATCCTGCTCCTCAGGGACCACTCTCCTGGACTGCGTAGCCAGTGATGGTAGACGGTCCTGATATGTCATCACTGCATGCAGCGTCAAGGGCACAGCTACCTAGCCACGTTGCCCAGGAGAGCATTATGTCTTTCTTCATCTTTAGGTCTCCTGTGTTTTAGAGCACTGAGTAAGAAAGGGAAATGTATGCTTTGTAGATTGCATCCACATAGATGGCCATGGACTCCGTCTGTGTCCTGATGCTTCCTGGGTGCACTGCAGCCTGGCCCACTGGCCTTCTGCGCAGAGCAGCTGGTGCCTTCAGTGCCACGACTCCTGGGCTTAGGCATGAATATAAGGGGCCAGGGAAGGCGAACTCCCAGAGCTGTAGAAGCGACTGTGCTCTTAAAATATCTGTATTATATGCTTTATCCTCTGGTACTAAGTATTCTCTGGTAAAAGTACTAAGTGACTGATTCCAGATTTAGAGTGAGAGATTTCTCAAAACTCAGTGTCCACACAGGGTTGATAGTGGTGTGTGGGCCTCATTTCTGTTATCACTGGACTTCAAACATGCTTCTCTTTTGTTGTGACAGGACCTTGTTGCTCGCTTGGATGAACTGGGGGGTGTGTATCTCCAGTTTGAAGAAGGACTGGAAACAACAGCGTTATTTGTGGCTGCCACGTACAAGCTCATGGACCACATGGGGACTGAGCCATCCATTAAGGAGGTGCGCCTGTCTTAACAGTTCTCAGGCGTGGAACCCTAAGGGGTTGTCAACTTAATCTGCCAAGAATAGCTTTGTTCAGGGAGGTCTGTTCCGTTAGCCTTGGGGTGTGGTCACTCATTGTCTTGGGTTAGGCATTGAGAATGAGAACTAGAGTGATGTAATGCCTGTCCTCAAGAAACTGGTGGTCAGTGGGACAGACGTGCAAACAAAATGTTACACTTGCTTGAAATGGGGTACATCCACGTCATGAGGTAGCAGCAAGAAGGGCAAGTGTGTTACTCTTGTTTCACCCCCCTTTTGCTTCCCAGCATCCCTTCCTGCTGATCTCGTGAATGCTTCCGCTCTGGTGGCCCGTGCAAATCCTCTTTCTTGTGAGAAGTGCCCTGTACTTCAGAATTGCCTGTCCCTCCCCCCACACCCCATCCTCTGCAATGGCTAAATCTTGGGCTAATCTTTGCTGATTGACATAGTTCATTGGGAGGCGTGTGTGCCTACAAGACATCGGCCAAGAGTTAATTCTTTTTTTTTTTTTCTCAAGAGGAGCTTGTTAACCTGAAAGAACTTTTAGTCGGAATGTGTGTGGGAAGTCTTTTAGAGTAGGGCCTTCTTTGTACCTCTTGTCTGTGAGGTTAGCAACCCTTGATCTAAAGTGCTTAAAACACAAGCTGCTATTGTTTAAATTTTAGAAGGAGAGATTTGGGTTTGAAGTTAGAACTTTTATTTCCTTTATGCCTTCTAAGTTCTGTGCGGAGTTTCTTTAAGTAAACAGAAAATATCTGCCTTGGGTAATTTGAATTCACTTTATATTTTCTCCAGAGGATATGATCTAAAATTTGTTCATACATTTGCATTCTTACGATATCTTTTCCTTCAGCCTGAGTGTTATGGGTAAAAGTGCAGGAATGTGGGGTCTTATGGTACAAAACATTTAGAGATTCTCCTGTACATAGTAAAACAGATGAATAGGCAATATTCTGCATATACAACTTTTGCTTGCTTTATTTCCAAGCTTCTACTAAACAGGTATTTGGCTGGAGTAATTTTGGTGTCACTGCTTTTGACACAACAATTCTGGTGAACAGTCACCCATTTTAACATGTCAACAGCCTAGTGATGAAAAAATGTAATCGGTACAATTAAAGAAAATTACTTCATGTCGACTGTGAAACACACTGTCAGGAACAGGGAGCTCTTTTGTTAGATGGTAGATTTTAACAAACAAAGCTGATTGAAGTGGAAAACGTTTCCTCTTAAGCAAACAACCTCCAGAATTTTAATAATGCTTTTTAGGTTCTACTTTTTTAAAAAATTACTTTCAGTTTTCTTCTCTAAGCAGCCCACTAGTTCTTAATGAAGAGTTATTTTAGTTTCTTTCTAATATACATTTTGGCCAAAAGATTTAGTCTCAGCCCCGTAAAACCAAATGGGACTAATGAGGTTCAGTAGTCCAGTGACAAGGGCCAGAAGGCAGAAGGGGGCAAGGAAGCTGGTGATAGGGAACCCAAGGTTGAGTAAGGATATTGTTGATGTGTTGTGAGATTGTTAACCATTGTCATAGGGCAACATGTATTTTCACCAAAAAAAAAGGTTGAGAAGTTAGAGGGTTGACATGTTGTGGGGTTGTTGACCAATGTCATAAAACAATATGTGTAAAAAAAAAAAAAAAGATTTAGTCTCATAAACGTAGCCGCAATTTACTACTTAAAGGTAGGCTGGGAGGGGTGATTTGATAGGAATCGGGAAAGAACATATTTTATTGTGGAAGAACTTTGGAGACAAACAGACCTACGTTTGAATTCTGGTTTTGCTTTTTTTTTTTTTCTGTTATAACTTGGACAAGTTACTTAACCTCCTTTAGCCTTAGTTTCCTCTTTTGGAAAACAGATAATACCTGTCTTTCAGGGTTTTGTCAACTTTAGAGTTACTATATATAAAGCACCTATCACAGTGCCTGGCACATACAGGCATTTAACAAATGATTACTGCTATATATGTATTTTATAATATACATTCCTATCATCTTTATACGCTGATTCCTTCAAGAGAATGATATTCCACTAGTATACATCATATGATTCTGTAGTAGTACTTGAGAGCAAATATTTGACAAATCAGTTTGTTTTTTATAACAGCTTTATTGATTCACATACCATACTATTTGACTAAATATTAAACTTTAAAATTATTTTAAATTTTATTTTTTGACAGTCAATTTTTTATTGAAAATTTTACCTTATCTCAGTAGTAATCTGGAAGTACCTTGCATTTGCATAGTAAGCATTCAATAAATGGTTGCCAAATAAATGTATGAGTTTCAGTTTATACTGAACAGATGAAAAAAACAACCAAATCTAAGTTTTTAAGCTTAAATGCAGAATATTTGCCCCCCACCCCCACCCCTTACCAGTTTGGATTAATGGCTAAAAGACCTTGCATGAACACCTGGAAACAGATAAGGAATAACTTGAGTCAGGTAGAGAGGAAGGGATGACTCTTCCATGTTCCTGCGGGAGGAAATCTGGAACTACATTTCCCTTTTCTTTCAGGATCAGGTCATCCAGCTGATGAATGCGATCTTCAGTAAGAAGAACTTTGAATCACTCTCAGAAGCCTTCAGTGTGGCCTCTGCTGCTGCTGCTCTCTCCCAGAATCGCTACCACGTGCCAGTGGTGGTTGTGCCCAAGGGCTCTCCTTCTGACACTCGAGAACAGGCTGTCCTGCGGGTATGACTTCCATGCCCAGAATGTGCACTCTGATTGTCATTTCTGGTGCAAGACTTTCAGAAATAAAAGATCATGGTACAATACCAACTGTAGTCCCAATGAGGACCTACCCATTAAATCCAGGCAGTTCTCTTTGTCTGGAAATGTAGACATGACTACTGGGCCTGAACTAGTCATAGAATCCTTCAAATTTGTCAAAGTTTCCCTTCCTCCTAGAGGATTTTAAATAGTATGGGCTTTGAATAAGTTAAGTGCAAGAAAATTGCATTTCTGAGTCTGTAATTCCAGATGTATGGAAAAATCTTGCTTTTAAAATGCATTGCTCAGTACCAAGACTTTCTAAATATGTTATTATAAGACAGCTGTTTTAATGCCCATGTAATTCTGGTGCTCATAGTTGTTAAAATAAATAGCAGGTCTCCTCCCTGATGCTGACAGTGTGCCTTTCTGCTTCTTCATAGCATAGTTCTCCCTCTCCCTCAGCATTAAGCACAGACTTCTCTTTTGTATTAACTCTTTGAACAGAGCAAATGCGTAAATCTTGAGTACCCTGAGATTTTTCATCTCAGATGACGCTTTTTATTGTTTAGAAACAGTGATAAGATACGACCTTCAGAAGAAGTTAGCATTTTATTTGTCTAAATGTTGGTGTTCCAAATAGAGTAGTACCATCTGCCCCATGATTTCTTCTACTTTGGTGGCACTCTTAAAGAAGTGCCCTTCAAAATTGCCTATCCTCTCCCTACTTATAACTCATACTCTCTCAACAAAGACTGGAGTGAAAAGTAACCTGACTGACATAGTTCAAGGGGGACTAAGAGAGCAAAGTGGAAAGAGTATTGGCTTTGAAGCTAGACAGACTGGGGTTTGAGTCCAGGCTCGACCACTTAACTGGCTGTGTGGCCTTTGGCAGCCCCTTAACCTCTTGTGGCTTAAGTTTCTTCATCTGTAAAATAGAGATCATGCTGTCTATCTCATACAGTTGATGCGAGGATATATGTAAAGGGCACACCCTAGTAGTAGTTATCATTTGGCTTTCAACAAATGATAGTTATTAATGTTATCCATATTTCCTCCATTTTCCCATTGCGTTTGAAGGTATTTTAGTACCTAAAACATTTTTTCTTGCTAGTAGTTTTTTTCAAAGATACTGTAGTGTAGTGGATAGAACAGGAGATCAGAAAGAAGGAAACATAATAATCAGTGTGATATGGGCCAGTCATTTCCTTTCCCTGGGCCCTAGTTTCCTCACTTGAAAAATGAGATAATTCCAGCTTTAACATTCTACAATCTATTCTGTCCTTAACCTAATTATGTTTTTCCTATATTTGATCTCTGATAGGTAACATAGCAAAGGTCAGTGACGATTTCCTGAAGTGAGGTGTTTCCTCCCCGTAGAGCTCGCTCCCTGTGGATGAAGCACCACAGAAACAAAATCCCTCAGCCTTTGTTCTTACGCGTGTAATTTTTTATTTCCTTCCAGTTGCAAGTCACCAATGTTCTGTCCCAGCCTCTGACTCAGGCCACTGTTAAACTAGAACATGCTAAATCCGTTGCTTCCAGAGCCACTGTCCTCCAGAAGACGTCTTTCACCCCTGTAGGGTAAGTCCTGAATGAATTTTTACGGAGTGCAGACATATTTATTTTGGAAAGTTAGCCTGCAGTCAGTATAACCCAGATTAATGTGGCTATTACCAAGATCATAAAACCAAATTTACCTAAACATTAGTAAATTTGACCTACTGATATCCAAATCCGGCAGTTATAAGAAAGGATTTTCTTTTTTAAGAAAAGAATTTTTAAAATTAAAAATATTTTGCTTTGATTTTACTTTTTCCTATTTCTAGTTGCCTGTCTTGTCAATATGCTATCAATGGCTATTTTTAAATTTAATATTTTTTCTGATATATTAGTAATATGTGTTTATTGTAGGAAAAATACAGAAAAGCACAAAAAAGAAAATATAAATCATCCATAATTCCACCACCCAGAGATAACTTTGTTAACATTTTGCTGTCTTTTTTGCTAGCCTTTTTTTGCATGCACATAAATGTATTTTTAAATTGATTTAGGATTATGCTTTTTTTATCTGTAACAGTGTGCCATGAACATTTCTCCATAGGATTAAATAATCTACACTCTTCTTTTTAATGGCTACATATTGATATGCAAATTTTTTAAATCAGTGGTCAATATTTGTATGACACTTTGTTAAGTGTTATTAATAAGTTGATAAGATGGTCCCTGTTCATCAGGAGCTTTGACTTTCAGAGAGAAAATACATTGATTAGTCAGTCATGAAGATACACAGGCAATATGTGAAATTTAAAAGCAAAATCATTTTTAGGAATAATCAGTGGGATGATAAAAGACATCACTGGTGTTTTGTTATGTAGTTAGAGTCATGAATTCACTATCTTTTTTTCCCTTTTAAAGTAAAAATTATGAATACTTTTAGAAAAGCAAGACAGGCCCTTTTTAGGAAATTCACAAAACACAGGTAAGTAGAAATAATACAAAAAATTACCCGCTTTGAACATTTTGGAATATTTTTTCCTAGTGCTCTTTTTCTATGTGAGCATGTATATGTGTATGTATTTTTTTCTTTGTTTCTTTTTTTTACATAATTGGGATCATACTGTACACTTAACCTGTTTTGCATTTAATTGTGTAAGGCTACCTGCGAGAGGTAGGATTTTAGGAGCTAAGAGGGGAAACAAAAGAGAAGACTTTGGTAACTTGGGAGGAAAGGTCATTTTAGATAGATTATAATATGGAGAAAACTTAAAAACTCTGACTGAGTAGAGAGGTTGCCCAAGTGGAGTGGGAAGTTGAAAATGAAGGAGAAGTATAGCCCTGGACCGTGTCGAGGAGTGCCTCACTCTGTAGCCTCTCTTTGTTGTATTCATGATGTTCCTTGATTAGTCCTTGCTAATCCTGCTGTTATTCTTAACAGGGATGGTTTTGAACTAAACTTCATGAATGTCAAATTTTCTAGTGGTTATTATGATTTCTCTGTCAAAGTTGAAGGTGACGACCGTTATATTGCGAATACGGTAGAGGTAGGTGCTCTTCTTGTCATCCCCATTGCTGTGTTAATGTATCCAAGGAAATGACCCAAGAGGCACATGCGTTAATTGTCCAGTATAACGACTTTACTTGGGGATTAAGCTAACGTGAATATGTTGAGAGGGGTAGGTTTGCATTATGCTGTTTGACAGACATAGCCAAGGAAGTAAATCAAGAACTTAGTCATATCTAGTTTTCTTTTATTTATAAAGTATTTGTTTTCCATTATAATTTAGCATTACTGTCTTACATAAAATTTAGGAAGTAGAAAAAATAATTCTACCAAAGCATAAATATTCATAAAATGTTTTGTGTAGTGGTCTTTGGTAGGTTTAAAAAAGTACTTGATGCTAATTAGGTGGAGAAAGACTGGAAGTGACACATAACACTATAATGAGGCTATCTGGGTAGAGCACAAAAGAAAATTGGTAATCTTTTATGATGAATTGTATTTCAAATGTTTAGCTAACTCCAGTTGGGTTGAACATCCCCGTAGCTTTAAGGATGGAAAACTACGCCTCATTTATCTGAAGCTTTGTGGGAATGAAGTATTTCACATTAGTGGTTTCCCAGCTAATTGAAGTTTACCCCTTCAGGCACTATGACTTTCATTTTAACCTTTTCGGATAGAAGTTTATTTAAGGTGAATGACACATTCCCCTGCTTTCTTAAACCACTACGGAATATGCTTTAACCTTTTCTTACTCTGAATTACGGTCATCAGTAAGAACCTTTTATTGAATGCCTGTTACTTGGCAAGCACAGTTATAAGTGCTTCTGACTACATTATTTTATTCTTACAACAACTCTGAGAGATGGGTGAAGTTAGTCTCATTTCATAGATGAGGCTGAAAGGCGTAGACTAACTTGTCACCCAGCCTATGCGTGGATGGATCCCCTGCACACTACCAGCTTAGTGTGCCCTGTGAATATATAGGGCACAGCTGCAGAGCTGTGTACAGCTCCAGCTGCCAGACTTTTCATAATATCACTTTCACCTTTCTCTTCCACTACCTCAGCTGTTATTTCTCAATATTTCTGCTACTCTGTCTTTGCTGGATCTACTTGACAACACTGTCATGCATGCTATTGAAAGAGACCTTGGAATGGTACTATGCCTTTCCTGAAATAATAAACATGGACAGGTTGTGACAGCTATTTTCTTCATTATTCATTTCACTATCGGAGGCCATTTTCCACTTCTTCTTTTTTTTTTTAATTAAAAAAATTTTATGGGCAGCTCCTGTCTGGAGGCAGGATGAGAAGGCAGAAAAGGATAGGAGGTGGTTGAATGGACACAGGAAACCCAGGGTAGAAAGGGGGAGTGTGCTGTCACATTATAGGAATTGCAGCTGGGGTCACATAACAGTATGTGTATCAATTTTTGTATGAGAAATTAACTTAAGCTGTATACTTTCACCTAAAGCATAATAAAATATATATATATATATATATACCTATGTATATATATAAAATAGGAAGAAAAAAAAATTTTAATCCCCCTAAAAAAATAAAATACTTAGGAATAAATCTGACCAGGGATGTAAAAGACCTATGCAAAGAAAACTACAAAAGACTAATACAAGAAACCAAAAGGGACCTACATAAATGGAGAAACATACCATGCTCATGGATAGGTAGACTCAACATTGTGAAAATGTCATTTCTACCCAGAGTGATCTACAGATATAATGCAATCCCGATCCACATACCAACAACATTCTTTAATGAGATGGAAAAACTCAGCAGTAACTTTATATGGAAAGGAAAGAGGCCCCAGATAAGTAAAGCACTATTGAAAAAGAAGAAAAAGTAGGAGGACTCACACAATCTGATCTTAGAACCTGCTACACAGCCATGGTAGTCAGAACATCCTGATGCTAGTACAATGACAGACACATAGACCAATGGAACAGAATTGAGAAACCAGGCGTAAATCCATCCACCTATGGTCAGCTGATCTTTGACAAAGGCCCAAAGTCCATTAAATGGGGAAAAGACAGTCTCTTTAATAAATAGTGCTGGCAGAACTGGAAGTCCATCTGTAAAAAAATGAAACAGGACCCATACCACACACCATATACAAAAACTAATTCAAAATGAATCAAAGACCTAAATATAAAACCTAAAACTATAAAGATTATGGAAGAAAAAATAGGGACGACACTAGGGGCCCTAATACACAGCATAAATAGGTTACAAACCATAACTAACAATGCACAAACACCAGAAGATAAACTAGATAATAGGGAGCTCCTAAAAATTAAACACTTTGCTCATCAAAAGACTTTACCCAAAAAGTAAAAAGACAACCTATAGACTGGGAAAAAAATTTGACTATGAGATATCCGACAAGGGTCTAATCTCTAAAATCTGTAAGTTACTGCAACACCTCAACAACAAAAAGACAAATAATCCAATTGAAAGATGGGCGAAGGATATGAAAGACACATCACCAAAGAAGATATTCAAGCGGCTAACAGACATATGAGGAAATGCTTGCAATTAGAGTAATGCAAATCAAAACTACATTAAGATACCATCTCACCCTGAGCCTACTGAGACTAATCAAAAAAGAAAATAAGTGTTGGAAAGGCTGTGAGGAGATTGGAACTCTGTACACTGCTTGTGGGAATGTAAAATGATCAAACCACTATGGAACACAATATGGTGCTTCCTTAAAAAGCTAGAAATAGAAATACCATACTATCCAGCAATCCCATTCCTAGGAATATACTGTAGAGAAATAAGAGCCATCACATGAATGGACATATGCATACCCATGTTCATTGCAACATTATTCACAATAGCAAACAGATGGAAACAACCTAAGTGCTCATCAACAGATGAATGGATAAACGAATTATGGCACATACACACAATGGAATACTACATAATGATAAAGAACAATTATGAATCCACAAAATATCTCACAACATGGATGAATCTAGAGGGCATTATGTTGAGTGAAATAAGTCAATCACGAAAGGACAAATACTGTATGAGACCACTATTATTAAAACTCAAGAGAAGGTTGACACACAGAAGGAAACAATATTTGATGGTTATGAGGGAAGGGGGAGAAGGAGAGGGGAAATCATTAACTAGATAGTGGATAAGTGTTAACTTTGGTGAAGGGAAAGACAGTACACAATATAGGGGAGTCAGCAACAACTTCACCAAGGCAAAGTCATAGAAGCTTCGTAGACACATCCAAACACCCTGAGGGACTGAGTTACTGGGGCTGAGGGCTGGGGACCGTGGTTGTGGGGGTCATCTAGGTCAACCGGCATAACAAAGTTCATAAAATGTTCTACATCCAACTTTGGTGAGTAGCGTGTAGGGGCTTAAAAGCTTACGAGCGGCCATCTAAGATGCATCTACTGGTCCCATCCTGTCCAGAGCAAAGGAGAATGAAGAAAACCAAAGACATAAGGGAAATATTAGTCCAAAGGACTAATGTACCACTAGTACCACAGCCGTCACTAACCTGAGCCCAGAATAGCTAGATGGTGTCTGGTTACCACTACCAACTGCTCTGACAGGGATCACAATAGAGGGTCCCAGACAGAACGGAAGAAGAATGTAGAACAGAATTCAAGTTCACACACACACACACTCACCCCAAACTTACAGAGACTGGAAGAACCCCTGAGACAATGGCCCCCGGACACCCTTTTAACTCAGAACTGAAGCCACTCCCAAAGTTCACCCTTGAGCCAAAGATTAGACAGGTCTGTAAAACAGAACATAATGCACGTGAGAAAGGTGCATCTTAGTTCAGTTATGTATATGAGACCAAAGGGCAACACCTGCCCAAAAGCAATGACAAAAAGGTGGGAAGGGACAGGAAAAAATGGTTGGATGGAAAGTAGGAATTGGGGTGTGGAAGGGGAGAATGTTGACACATCGCAGGGATCGCAACCAATGTCACAGAACAGTTTGTGTAAAAAATTGTTCAGTGAGAAACGCATTTGCTCTGTGAAGTTTTGCCTAAAGCACAATTGTTTCATCTTTTCATTTTGAAATGGTTTCAGTCTTAATCAAAGTTGCAAAAATAGTGCAGATTTCCCATATAACTTTACCCAACTTCCCCAAATGTTAACATCTTATATAATTATCAAAACCAGGAAATTAACATTGATATAATACTATTAACTAATCTATAGACCTTAACTCCAATTTTGCCATTTGTCCCACTAATGTCTCTTTTCTGGTCCAGGATTCAAATCAGGATCACATATTCATTTAATTGTCATGTCCCTTTAGTCTCCTCCAATTTAAGATATTTCTTTGCCTTTCATGACCTTGACACTTTCGAAAAGTACTTGGTAGAGTGCCTTTCAGGTTGGGTTTTGTCTGATGTTTTGGCAAAAACACTCTGAAACTGATGTTCTGCCATTCTCAGTACATTGTGTCAGGAAGTAGTGATGTTGATGTGTCTCGTTACTGGTGATGTTAACCTTGATCACTTGGTTAAGGTGGTGTCTGCTAGATTTCTCCACTGTAAAGTTCCTGCTTTTCCACTTTGTAAATAAGTATCTAATGGGGGTATACTTTGAAGGTCTGCAAATATCTTGATGATGCTTGCCTGCAACAGTTACTGTGGTGTTTGCCAAAAGGTAATTTTTCTCTTCCGTGCATTCCTTCTGCATTTACTAGTTGGAATTCTACTGTATGTAAGAAAAAGCTTTTCCTTCTCTCCCATGTATTTATTCATTGACATTACTTATAAAAATATGGATTCATGGATATTTATTTTACCCTATAGGTTATAATCCACTGCTATCATCATTTATTTTGTTGGTCATATTATCCCAGATTTGGCCTTTGGGGAGCTCCTCAGGTTGATTCCTGTGACACTCACCTTTTTTAATGAAAAGAGTATAGGCAGCTAGAAAGTTTGACCTTTTCAAAAGTGGGGCATTACTTATCATAGATAGATCAAACACTTGTATTAGAAGTATGACAGAAAGGAGGCTATTTTCTTGTC